GCTAAGTCACTCATACTTGTGGCCCTGATATCGCGGATCTAGCGTACTTTGAAACGATCGTGGTCCCGGGATGGCAGAACCAATGTAATTGATTGAGGATCGTGGCCCTGGAAGCGCAGATTCAGTGTAATTTGCAAGGGATCGTGGCATGAGAGCGCGGATCCAGCGCCATTTGCGCGGGTCGTGGCCGCAGGAGCGCGGATACAGATCGCTTCTAAGGGGTCGTCGCTGTGGGGGACAGGGACCCAGCGTAACCTACGAGGGCTCGGTGTGTTTTTTATGTGGGCTCGCGGTTGGCACGAGTCCTGACCCCCGGGAGAGGGCGCCAGGAGGGCCAGGCCGGATACTTACAGAGGGGGCGCACACGGTCAAGATGCTTCGGGGTTGGACAGACCTCCTACCCTGATACGTCGATTGAGGAATTGGCCGTTTTCGGTTCGCGAGAGGGCGGCGCAGCCGTCATTTTTGCGGGTCCAGTTCCGTCGGTTTCGGTCCCAGGCCGTCTTCCCTGAGGGGAGGTTTACGAGATGGAGGTCTGTCCACCGCCGAGTGCTGGAAGCAGGACCCCCTTCTCAGTCCTCGGGCTCTCGTCTCCTCCTCCTCCTCCTCCTCCTCCTCCTCCTCCTCCTCCGCCTCCTCCTCCTCCTCCTCCCCCTCCTCCCCTCCCCTCCCTCCTCCTCCCTCCTCCTCCCTCCCCCTCCCTCCCTCCCCCTCCTCCTCCTCCTCCTCCTCCTCCTCCTCCCTCCTCCTCCTCCTCCTCTCCTCCTCCTCCTCCTCCTCCTCCCTCCTCCTCCTCCTCCTCCTCCTCCCTCCTCCTCCTCTCCTCCTCCTCCCTCCTCCTCCTCCTCCCTCCTCCTCCTCCTCTGGCCGCTGGCGGCCGGGGCACGGCGCGGCGGCTCACGGCCCGCGGGGCCCCACCAGGGCGGGGGGGCCGGGGCGGACTTCGCGGCCATGTCCCTCTTCTTCGGGTGCATGCTCTACAACATTCGGGCCGGGCGAAAGGGGGGGATTGGGAGAGGGGGGGGTTACGAAATCTGCTGCACGCAGCTGGTTTCGGCCTCACCGAGGGGCCCGTTCCTCGATACGTGGCCGCCTCCGGCGCCGGGAGGCGCCGGGAAAATCAGCGACGTGAGCTGATTCTCAACCACCCCCTTTGCTATCCCCCCCTCTCGCCCGACCCGAAACATCCCGCTGCTCATCGAGCTCGGGGACGTCCGCATCTCCGAGGCCGCGGAGGTCAGACGGCGGCGCTGCCGCGCGCGCCCCGCCGCCCCTGCTCGGCGCGGCAGCCGCTGGGGCCGAGGCCCGTGCACGGCAGCGCCCCCCGTGTGCGGCCAGGGCCTCCGGGCACCGTGGCGCCTTCTGGTCGAACTGCTCCATGCAGAAGATCTCTTCGCTAGAGGAAGAAAAGACGGCATAAGCATAAACTTTTGGCGCTCCGCGCGGAGTGCTTGGATCTGCGCTGGACCCCCCTCCCTGGCGCGCGGAGCGCGCCAGGGGCGGCGCTGGAGGCGCTGCCGGGGGGGCAGCAGGTGCGCGCGGACACGCAGAGTTCGTGCCCGATCGTGCTGGCAGTGCATGTGAGTTCGTCGTGCGCGCGAGCGGGGGAGTCGTGGCGGCGGCGTGCTGTGGTCCAGGCCGCCCAGATGGGGCCAGAGCAGACTGGGGCCGGGGGAGCGCATGAGATTGCATCGCATCGCCGAGTTATCGGCGGCGCGGCGCGATCTGGGGCCAGATCTTTCTTCATCCCGACGTCGCCGATGCAGCGGCGATGCGGTGCGTATCCTTCGACCCCACTTACAGACAACGCGTACAGTAAGGATGACCGAAGTGCCAAGATCACCATTGCATCCTTCCTCTTCGGCCCAGGCCACTTTCGCTGGCCGCGCCCAGCTCGAAAAGTGTCGACATGGCCTTCCAGAGCCCTCGCATCGGCGTTGACTGTACTCGGGCCCACCTGGACGGCCTCCATGGAGGGTGTGCAGCCATGGGGTCTGTCACAATTTCTTGTTGTTTTGCGTAACCTCACCAGCCCATCCAGAGACGATGTCCAGATGAGTTGCCTCGATCAGGGAAGAGGGCAACACACAGAGTAAGGGTCCCTCTTGGAGCGCTCTTGGGACACTCTTCGGCGCTCTTAGGGCTGTCTTGGGACTCTCTTGGGCCTCTCTTGGGGCCCTCAGGTCATCTTGGAGCCATCTTGAGGCCTTGGAAGGTCATCGAAAGCAAATAGGCAAGAAGGCAGAAATCATTGATGTTCTTAAAAGGACTCTTGTGGCCTCTTGGGGGCCTCTCGGGCGCCTCTTGGGGCCTCCTGGGCGCCTCTTGGGGCCATCTTGGAGGAGATCGATCAAAACAGATGGGAGCTTTAATTACGTTCCCCCCTCGAATGAATAATGAAGCCGCGTGTCCGTAGGCACATGCGCAAAGGCACGAACGTGCGCTAGACAGTATGCTTGCGCACTGCCGCTTTCCAGGCTTCTGCTGTCAAGGTGCCCAAATGGCTTCTATGACAACCAACATCACGACAAATATGCTGCGCATGCTTTACAACTCTGACGCCCACGCTTGGTGCGCTCTTGGAGCGCTCTTGGAGCTGTCTTTGGGCTCTCTTGGGCCTCTCTTGGGGATAGCAAACCATCTAGCTCACTCCCACCCGCCGTCCCGTCACATGGGCAACACCCGAGTCTGAGCATGTTCAGCGGTCGTCTTTGAATGGACAGCTACTGGGAACCAAAACCGACCCCATATGCGCAACGCTGGGGCGCTGGGGCGAGGTGCGCAACGCGTGCCTGGCGCGCGTGGCGCGCCTGGCACCCCTGGGGCCCGAGCGTGCCAGGCACGGCTGGTGCGCCAGATGCGCCACGTGCTCCGCGTGCGCGCGCCAGGTGTGCCGCATACTCTAGCCGCGCCAGGTGCGCCACGTTCGGGGCACGTGCAGAGTGTGTCAGGTGCGCCTGCGCACGTGACAGCACACATCGGGAAACATGTCGGCCCCCATCATCACTTGTCGAAAACCAATGCCCATCATTGTGTCTGGTGGGTCTGCGCAAAGCAGGCCATACGCCACCACCCCCGCCGTCCCTGTCAAAAACCATTTGACAGCGATCGCGGGGTGGCCGCGCATGATCCAGATTTAGCCGCGAGGTGCATTTTGTATTGTTTGTTTGTTGTCAGGGATGTTAGCCCGGCGCGCAGCAGGCAACATGCTGACATCCCCGCCGTCCCGGTCAAAAACAATACAAAGTGCTCGCGGGCCTCACGAACATGACTCAAGACTTGCCCCAAAATGTACGTTGGTGTTATTTTTTGACAGGGGTGGTGGGGGGGCGCATCGGGTTAGCCGCGCATACTTCAAATGTGGAGGCAGAGTGCGTGCTGGATTGTTTGCTGAAAAGGATGGTGGGGGTGGGTGAGCATCGTTCCTGGTTGGCCGCCGGTCGCCTGGGGGAGGGGGTGTATATTAATAAGGAACAGTGATCAAGACACCCTCCTAGATAGCAAGCCTTCTAGCTCACTCCCCCCCGCCCTCCCAACACATAAGTAACACTCGAGTCTGAGCATGTTCAGCGGTCGTCTTTGAATGGACTGCTACTGGGAACCAAAACCGACCCCATGTGCGCGACGCTGGGGCGAGATGCGCCACGCGTGCCAGGCGCGCCATGCGCGCCAGGCACCCCTGGGGCCCGAGCGTGCCAGGCACGGCTGGTGCGCCAGATGCGCCACGTGCTCCGCGTGCGCCAGGTGTGCCGCATACTCCAGCCGCGCCAGGTGCGCCACGTTCGGGGCACGTGCAGAGTGTGTCAGGTGCGCCTGCGCACGTGACAGCACACATCGGGAAACATGTCGGCCCCCATCATCCTTGTCGAAAACCAGTGCCCAGCATTGTGTCTGGTGGATCTGCGCAAAGCAGGCCATACGCCACCACCCCCGCCGTCCCTGTCAAAAACCATTTGACAGCGATCGCGGGGTGGCCGCGCATGATCCAGATTTAGCCGCGAGGTGCATTTTGTATATATTTTTGGTTAACGCCCAGAGGGCTGATGGGATTTTTATGGTGGTGTTCAACGGCCGGTCTTTCACAGAGAAGGCAGCGTGTGATGGAACGCATTGCTGCAAGTGACTGGCGAACTTGTTGCTTCGTAAAGGGCGGTGACTGCCCCAAGGAACCGCAGACCCTACCTCCGGATCCACCATACCTTGAGCGGTTTCGCAAGTAGGGCGGAAATTTCCGCCCTGCTGCTCAAGCTCCTGCTGCCCTACTTTTCCGTTGCTGTTTCCGCAGCGTTCTTGCGAAAATATCGGCCCTACTTTTCCGAGGCGGACAGTTGCGTCTTGGTGTTGCCCTTCATTTGGAGCGCGCTGCTGACACTCAGTGGGAAAATGAACCACAGTACGGCGGATCCGGGTTAAGGGCCTTAAGGGGAGAGCTTGAACACACGCCCTCCGCTGCATACCGCAGTGGCGGCTTTTGATGAAGATCCCATACACCATCGCTGGCGCCCTGTTCATGCTGGGCGGCATTTTCGAGGCGGTCGAGAACGAGATCTTCACCACCAGGCCTGACAGCATGAGCAAGTGGTCAGCCATCACGAATACCGCCGGGGGGCTTCTGTTCTTCCTGGCGGCAGTGGCCGACTTCTGGTCTGGGTGGTGGTGCGCAATGCTTTGGTTTATCTCGAAGAAGAAAAACGGCATAGACGCACTTTCGCAGCTCCGCGCGGTTTTCTAGGATGTGCGATGGACCCCCTGGCGGCGCCTCCGGCGCCGCCCTCGTCGCGCGCCGCGTGCCAGGGAGGGGGGCCCAGCGTCGATTCCAGACACCCGCGCGGATCTCCAACATTTTGTGCTTCTGCTTAAGTCGGGCCTGTCCCTCTACAGGAGGAATACTCAAACCATAGTCCAAAAATAGGCGGGGGACGATTTTTTGAGCATGTTTTGACTATTTGGGGGTACTTTTGGGGGTATCTTAAACTTTTCTCGCCCAACATCCGCCTGTAGGGGGGCACGCCCGACCCTGCTGCTTGTGCCGTCGTTTGGTCTTCCATGATCGGGTCCTTCCTGTACGTCGGGGGGTCGACCCTGGGCCTCTTCATGTGGAGGGACGAGCAGTTCGGCCTGGCCTTCCTCGTCGCGCTGAACACCGCCGCGCGGAAGAGCCGGGCCTCGCAGAGCAGCGCGTCGCGCCAGAGGGAGGGGCAAGAGCAATCGCTCCCAGGGCCGACGCAACCTCGTCGTCGTCCTCGTCCTTGTCCTGATCGTCGTCGTCGATGGTCGTCGTCGTCGTCGTCGTTGTCGTTCTACCCCTCGTCCGCCTCGCCCTGCTCCCGCTTCAGCTCCCCACCCTCCTGCCCCCCTCTCATGAACAACCGTTCTACTCTGCTTCCCCGTCCTGCTGTTGATCGTCGTCATCCTCCTCCCACCGTCCCTCCTCCCCCTCCCTGTTACGCCTCTCTTCCGTGCACGCTGTTGCCCTGGCCTTCGGCGGGCCCAGAGGGCCTCCGGGGTGCCCGTCAGGTTCTCCTACCGGAGCATCTTCTTCATCCTGTTCTATTGTGTGGTGGCCGTCCTGGTCGTCTACAACACCGGCCTCGTGATCCAGTTCGTTCCAAACCAGTGCGAGGGCAGCGCCTCCGAGGTGTACAACGAGGCCTCGACGGGAGACGGATCGAACTGTTAACTAGGGACAGGGGAGGCCTGACCAGACCAGATTGTGGGAGCTCCCGGGTGCTGGTCGGATATTCCCCCTTTCCAGGGCAAGCTCAGAACGCCTCTGCAGTCTGGTATTGTTGGCGTTCCCCTTCTCCATGACGATGATGAGGAGGAGGAGCAGGAGCAGGAGCAGGAGTCGGAGGATGAGGATGATGATGAAAATGATGATCGTGATGATGGTGATGATGATGCTGATGGTGATGAAGATGAAGATGAAGATGCTGATGGTGAAGACGCTGCTGATGATGATGATGATGATGAGGAGGAGGAGGAAGAGGAGGAGGAGGAGGGTGATGATGGTGGTGATGATGATAGTGATGATGAGGATGACGATGATGATGATGATGATGATGATGATGATGATGATGATGATGATGATGATGATGATGTTGATGATGATGATGATGATGATAGGATGAGAGGATGAGAGGATGAGGAGGAGGAGGAGGAGGGTGATGATGATGATGATGATGATGATGATGATGATGATGATGATGATGATGATGATGATGATGGTAATGCTGATTATGATGATTCGGACGCTGAGTATGATGATGCTGCTGATGATGATGATGATGATGATGCTGGTGCTGCTGATGCTGATGCTGATGCTGATGCTGATGCTGATGCTGATGCTGATGCTGATGATGATGATGATGATGATGATGATGATGATGATGATGATGATGATGATGATGATGGTGACAGTGGTGGTGTTGGTGGTGGTGGTGATAGTGGTTGTGATGGTGATGGTGATGGTGGTGGTAGTGGTGCTGCTGATGATGGTGATGCTGATGATGTTGATGATGATCATCATCATCATGATGGGGTGGAGGAGGAGGAGGAGGAGGAGGATGGTGATGGTGGTGGTGGTGGACTTGATGATTATGGTGGTGGTGGTGATGGTAGTGATCATGATGATGATGATGATGATGATGATGATGATGATGATGATGATGATGATGATGATGATGATGATGGTGGTGGTGGTGGTGGTGGTGGTGGTGGTGGTGATGATGATGATGATGATGATGATGATGATGATGATGATGATGAGGAGGAGGAGGAGGAGGAGAGGAGGAGGAGGAGGATAAGCAGCAGCAGCAGCAACATGAGGAGCAGCAGCAGCAGCAGAAATCAGAGGAGGAACAGGAGGAGCCATAGGAGGAAGGCAGGAGGAGGAGGAGGAGGAGGAGGAGGAGGAGGAGGAGGGTGTCCGTCCCTTCCTCCTCCCTTTCGCACCCTCTCTTCCTTCCTCCCCTTCCCCCCCTCCGCCCCCCCTCTTGCGCGTCGCGCGCCGCAGCCTGGGCCAGGGCGGCTGCCCTCCTCCAAGGGGGGTCGGCCCGAGGCCGCGAAGCGGGTCGCGCATCGCAGGCGGGCGATGCGCGAAGTTGGGTGACTTGTCCCCTGCCCTCCCCGTCCTCCTCGTCGTCCTCCTCCTCCTCCTCCTCCTCCTCCTCTCCTCCTCCTCCTCCTCCTCCTCCTCTCCTCCTCCTCCTCTCCTCTCCTCCTCCTCCTCCTCCTCCTCCTCCTCCTCCTCCTCCTCCACCTCCCCCTCCCCTGCCCTCCCCTCCGACCAGGAAGAACACGACCTGTCCCCCCTACGACCCCCCGCCGTGCTGGATCTTTGGGACCCTGCCTCGTGCTCCTTCGTGCGATGCCTCGTGGCCCACGACGGCATGACCGCGACGTGCTCGGCGGTCGCAGTCTCCCACGACTTCGATGTGATGGCTGGGGCCCATCCCCCCCCCTCCTCCTCTCGCGCCTCCCTCTCGCCTGCATCCCTCTTCGGTCCCCCTGTCATTCTCCTCACCCGCTCCTTCTCCACCCACCCCCTCCAGCTGGCCTCCGTCACGTTCCTCCTCTCCGCCGCCTCTGCCCGGAAGCCGCGCCCGCGTTCCGGGGGACCGCGCCACCGGCTCTCTGCTGGCCCGCCAACCTAAGACCTTCGGGCCGCGGCGCGTGCGCGGCGGCCCCACACGGCGGGGGGGGGGGGGGGGGCGTAACGTCATACCCCCCCCTCGCCTCCTCCTCCCCCTCCTCGCCCTCCTCCTCTCCTCCTCCTCCTCCTCCTCCTCCCTCCTCCCTCCTCCTCCTCCTCACCCCCCTCCCCCCCCTCGCCCCTCGCCCCCCCCCCGCCCCTGCCCCCCCCCATGATGCCCGTCATCGCCGAACATAAAGCAACACGCTCCAGGTGCTGCCCTTCTTCCTCATGCACATGGTGCTGCTCATGCACTCCGCCGTCGTGCAGACGCCCAGCAGGCAGAACCAGCCCTTCCACATGCTGGTCACCTGGCATCGCTCGGACGTTTTTTTTTTTTTTTTTTTTTGTTTTTTTTTTCTCGGCGAGGGCCCTGGAGGAGCATCCTGGATCACGTAGCAAAACGAAAACACGCACGAAACCGAACAGAGCACGAGGAATGGGCGTCCGAGCGATGGGAAGGTCATGACCACCCGCGTGCTCAGCCTCACCACCGGCGTCAACGCCATCTGCACCTTCGCGTCCTGGATGCCCCGCATCGTCCCCGGGCACCACCCGCCGCCGCCGCCGGCGCCGCGCCTGGAGCAGGGCGCGGGCATCGCTTACCAGGCGTTCCTGGCGTGACGTGCTTCGGGAGCCTTGAGACAGGGGTCAATGCAAACGGGGGTCAGCCAGGGCACTGGATCCTGCAGGAGCCTGCAAAGACCCCCTCTCGCTGACCCAGGTTGGCGAGCCGCTCGTGGCCGCGAGGCGGCCGCGCATGCTGGCTGACCCGGGTTTGCCAAGCCCTGCGTTGCAGGTCTTTTGTGTTCCTGCATGGCAGTTTTTTGGTTTTCTACTGACCCGGCTCTGACTGACGCGGGTCAGCAGATCCCCGAGTGTTGGGGCCACGGGGAGCTTCCGGACGGGTTCTCCCTCCGTGCGCCGGCAGGATCGTGGTCGGTCGAAGGGGCCGCCACGGATTGGCGGACGAAGAGCAGGGCAGTTGAGTCGGGCGTGTCCCTCCACAGGGGGAATATTCAAACATAATTAAGAAATGCTCAGGGGGCGATCTCTTGAGTATCATTGAATTTTGTCTGAGCATGTTTTGTTTATTTCTAATTGTTCGTCCAAAATCCGCCTGTGGGAGGACACGCCCGACCTACCAGTACAGCTCGGGGGCGGCCGAGAGGGGGCGTGGACATCATGGCGTGGGCCATGAGATCTTCCCAGATCTCATGACTTCGGTAGCAAATCATGGAGGCCTGGTCTACCCTGTTGATTCCCCCTGGAGCGTCGACTGGCGTCGATTAGCGCCTGGGAGTCGATGAGGTAGCGCCGAATTGGCGTCGATGTAGCGTCGATGAGCGTCGAGTTACCATCGATGACCGTCGATTTAGCGTTGAACGTCGACTCTCAAGAGCCGACAGGATGGTATGGGAGACTCCCGCGAGCTGCCAGGTTTCCGTGTTCCTTGATTGTTTCACAGCTTGCCTCAGGTTTTCTTTCTGTTTTCGACGCGAAATCGAAGTTTAACCCATGGAAAAAAGGGACTTCGTTCCTTTTTTAGGGTTCCTTAGGTCAACGCCCCGACTGTATGGGAGACTCCCGCGAGCTGCCACCGAACATTGACGCCTCGTCTTGTTTCGGCACGTCCCCAGCTCGCCACGCGCCCCGAGCCGCGCACATGCCTCGGGCCACGGTTTGCCCCCCCTCCCCCTCCCCTCTCGGACAGCCCCCCCCTTGGACGCCCCCCGAATACAGTCAATCCGCACAGTAAAGATGCAGGAAGGAAAAAAGCACACAGACACAATTCATCGTCGATCCCCAGGAAAATATGGGAAAATATGGGAAGTGGGGGGGAAGACAAAAACCCAGAAAATATGGGAAACTATGGGGAATATGTTTGTTTGTGTGTATGCATTTGTGTGTCCTGGGGCCCCTTCAGATGGGCAGCCTCCCCAAGTGTACCCTTGCACCCTTGCCACCTCGGCCCATCCTTGGCCGCTTGCGTCGGCCGCGCCCCGCTCGAGAAGCTTCGAAAATGGGCGCCCAGAGCCCTTGCATCCTCATCGCTCATCGGGGCGTGACAGCGAGGCGATTGCGAATAGTGCTGAGTGTCGAGGTTTTTCGGTCCACTGGCGAAACCAACATCGTGAAACGGTCCTCTAAGCTGCCTAATAAAAAACAAAAAAAACCTTATGCTGCGGGCCGACTGTACCTTTGCCCGCCGCGGGGGGCGCCCGCCCCACGGGCGACTGGAAGGGGTTGCGAGGCCACGACGTGCGCACCACCGTGGGAGCATAGACTTCCCAGCCTCGAGATCCC